CACACACACACACACACACAAGAGGACAGAAGCCACACATGTAACCACCACCACCAACAACAACAACAACAACAGCAGCAGCAGCAACAACAACAACAACACCAACAACAAAATCAACAACAACTCACAGTCAGTGGGCGACACGGCAGACTTGCTGGTCTTTATGACAACCGGCGGCTTCTCCCGAGGGTTGATGTCCGTCCAGTTGATGGTGTTCTCGAAGCACAGGTAGTCGTTGTCCTGGAAGAACACCTTGCCCTTGATGATCTCTGTGGAAGGAAAGCGGAGATTTCCCAGTAGTTTTAGGAAGAGTTTTTTTAGTAAGTGTTTTACGGCACTTGCAACACAATAAGGTCATATAAGTGCCGAAGATGAGAGGTGTTACAAGAGAGTAACAGACACAAAAAGAAGGGGGGGGGGGGATAAAGACGATAGATGTTTGATAGGAAAGAAGAAGCAAACCACACCGGAGCACCCGCCAACCACCCACTAGGAAGATTTTGTTTTAAATTAGTAGAGGTTTTACGGCACTCGCAACTGCATAAGGTCATATAAGTGCCGAAGATGAGAGGTGTTACAAGAGAGTAACAAACATAAAAAAGGAAAAGGGGACATAAGGACAACAGATGTTCGATACGAAAGAAGAAGCAAACCACACCAGAGCATCCGCCAACCACCCACTAGGAAGAGTTTTTAGGGCGCTTACAACACATCATGGTTATATAAGTGTCAACGATTAAAAGTGTGACAAGAGAAATGTTTTTGGCTGTTGTTTTTTTAAAGAGTGTTATTACGAGTTTTACAGCATCCGCAACACAATATGATGGTGTAAGTCTCAAAGATTAGAGGTGCTACTGAAAAGCCTAGCTTACTTTAGAGTTTGACGGCACTTACAACACGGATATGTCATAACATGGGTGCCAAGGATGCGCTTTACAATCTATATTAATATTACCCCAGCAGACCTGGTAGCATTTTGAAACAATCAACACCTCCTGGAAAGCATACAGAAAAGAAGATAAAGGACGTAAAGGAAAAATACCAAAAATAAAACCTCCCTTCAAAAGCTACCGAGACCTTAGTTTAATTTTAGTAGAGGGTTTTCGGTCCTCGCAACAGCATAACGTCATAATATGAGCGCGAGGACATTAGAGGTGTTACAAGAGAGTAAAACACATAAAAAAAAGGGGAGATAAGGACGACAAGTGTTCGATAAGAAAGAAGAAACAAACCACACCAGATCACCCGCCAACCACCCACACAGAGATCTTAACTTTCCAAACTCACCCGTCAAGTTGGTAAAGCGGAGCTCTCGGAGACCCCTGCGGCCGCCCTTCTCAAAGTTGAGGGCCACGAAGAGACTGTAATGTTCGCCCGACTTGTCATGGTAGAACTGAGGGGAGCCTCGGATGATCCGCAGGCTGGTCAGAGGGATGGACTCCACCACGTTGCCCACGAGTAGCACGTAGCCTGAGGACACAGTTTCAGTTGTAGTTCTAGTAAGCGTTTTACGGCACTTGCAACACAATAAGGTCATATAAGTAACGAAGATTAGATTTTAGTTTTAGTAATTAGAGGTGTTACAAGAGAGTAACTAACGCAAATAAGCAGGATGGGAGAAAGAGACGATAGATGTTTGATGGGAAAGAAGAAGCAAACCACACAAGAACACCCGCCAACCACCCACTGAGGACATAGTGGCGTAGTGGGTAAAGTGTTGCGGGTTCGAAGGATGGGGTCATTGGAGTGGTCGGAGGTCAGGGGTCAGGGGTTTGGGGTCGTAGGTCAGGAACTGAAGGTTGTAAAATGGAACGTCCGACTATGGTGCAGCATTGTTAATTATTATAGCCTGAGTCTGAGAGTCTGGAAGAACGGCACTTTTCTTCTTCTTCTTCATCTTCTTCTTCTTCTGGTGGTGGAGGAGGAGGAGGAGGAGGA